CTTCCTTCCGCTACTTTGGCTCTGTGACGACTTTTGATAGTTGAGAATATTTTCTTCTTGATTTGCTCCTTTATCTATGAGAAACTTGGAGGTATTTGAACCTGTACAACAGATAGAGCAGTGGCAGTTTTTGCTAGTGAGTCTGCCTTTTCATTACCATCTATGCCAATGTGACTTGGTATCCAATTCAGGGTGATTGACAGCCCTCGATTATGGGCTTCTTTTCCTATATGTTGAATTTCTGTGAGGAGTTGTATATTATCTCTGTGCTGACTGGATAACAATGCCTGGGGCGAAGATTTAGAGTCTGTATGAATGATGACATCATGTAAATTATTCTCAATGGTATAGTTTATTGCCTCCTTCAGGGCATATAATTTTGTTTCCAATGTTGAGCACCCACTATTCATGTTCCAGTAAGCTTCATGGTTGGTAGTGTAAACTGCTGCCCCAGCAGAACCTTTTTCTTGATCAACTGATCCGTCTGTGAAGATGTGAGTCGTTGTGGGTCTTGAGATAGTTTCCATTTGTTGTTCTATTACTTCCTTGAGCCTCTGCAGGTCACATGCTGATTTTTAACTGGTAATCTTTCAATGATTACCTTTAGATTCGATTCTTCCCATGGAGGAGGCTGTCGAAAGTGTTGATATGGTCTATCTTCCCTTTTGTTTTTAATGGTCCATATCAGGTCCATTTTCTCTAAAATCTTGACCACATTATCCATCCATGAGCTTGTTCTATACTGTAGGTTTTTCTGAAAGGATCTCTGTATGCTGTCTTTGATTGACAGTCTGGCGGTTGTTCCAGTAAGTTTTCCTATTATGGTGGCTATCCTTTGTTTCATCCTGTTTTCTAATGCTGGTAAATTTGTTTCCATTCCATGTTTCCATTTGCGGTCATCATCAATGGCAAAGGTGCAAGGAACCATGCACAAAAATGCCTAGATATTATCAGCAGGGAAGCGGAACGCATAGCAGTAAAAATAAACAGCAATAAAACAAAAGCAATGACCGTTAAAATGAGAACTCAAGACATCAGACTGGCAATACAAGGACAAGAAATTGAGTGGGTTACCTCTTTTCAATACCTAGGAGTCATAATAGACAACCAGTTGAAATTCACTCAAGAAATTGAATATCTTCGGCAACGCTGTAAAGTCAGAAACTCAGTTTTGCGCTCTCTGACCAGTCTTAGAGAGGGTGCATCTCTACCAGTACTCAAAATGTACTACGTTCAAGCAGTTAGATCACTTATCGACTAGGCTGCCCCTGCTCTTACATCCCTCAGTGATAACCAATGGGAGAAACTGGAAGTGTCTCAAAATGATGCTCTGAGAACAATGCTGGGAGCACCTACATGGACGCGTAGAGAGAACCTTAGATATTGCTTCTCAGTGACTTAAAATGTAGGGAGGCGATGTGTAGTGTAAGAGCGATGTAGATTATCAATGAATTGGCAAACCGCAGCAAAATTCAGTGTTGGAACATAAGTGGGAAAAATTACTGCATCTACTTTACATTCTTCCCATTTTGGTGTTAATTGTTAATCATGCATTGTAACATTTGAATATAAAGTTTGTATTATATTTTCACATGCATTATTCATTTCTTCCCACTTTTTGAAGTGCGAGGGTTAATTCATGAGCTCCCTCGCCCCCATTAGTCTAATCGCCAGAGCTTCATTTATCTCTGAAATTCTATCCCCAGTACTCTGTAAGTTCAATCATTTCATCATTAGCTCAGTAATAGTATTTCTTGGGACATGAGAATAATCTTGGGATTATTCTCATGGGTTCGTTTTGTATTCTCCAACTTTTTAAGTTTGCCTTTACTTAAATAAGACAGACAGGGGCAGCATAATCAGAGATCTCATAGTATGCCATGTGATTACCATTGGAAGGTTAAATGTAGAATATGATTAATAATTGTGTATTGTATGGGATTGTGAGTCCTTGAGGGACCTTTTTTATAGGCGAGGGTAGAAATAGCCTAAGCTACTCTATCCTTTGGAGATGTACGTTATTTTCTCAATAAACTTACATGAACTTGAATGGCGACCAAAACCGAACTGTATAAGTACACTTTATAAGATTTATTCACACTCATTTAACTCCATTTATTTTAACTCTTGGTTTCCCTTGATATAACCATGCTCTTGCAAACTGAATACTGTGAACCTCTATGTTGACCAATCCACACACTAGAAAATGAAGGAACGACGACGTTTCGGTCCGTCCTGGGCGATATTCAAGACCATTCTCACAATCGACTTGAGGATGATTCAGGACGGACCGAAACGTCGTCGTCCCTTCATTTTCTAATGTGTGGATTGGTCAACATACTTCAGCCACGTTATTGTGACTCATCGCCTACATGTGAACCTCTATAGTTTTAATCAGTTTTTCGTGTGGGACTCTATCAAAAGCTTTGACACATTAGTGGTATGCAATGTTACAGTGCTTTTCACTATCAACTGCCTCACATATGCTGGAATAGAATGAAAGACAAATTGTCAAATATGACCGGACCGTTTCGTTACCCAGAAAGACCTGGGTAAATACCGGTTCATAAGAACAAAGGTAACTGCAGAAGGCCTATTGGCACCTATGAGGCAGCTCCTATTTATAACCACCCAATCCTACTCATATACATGTCCATCCCACGCTTGAAACAATAGAGGGACTCCGCCTACACTACGTTTCGCGGTAATTGGCTCTACAAATCAACAACCCTGTTACCGAACCAGTATTTACCCAAGTCTTTCCTAAATCTAAACTTATCCAATTTATACCTATTGTTTCGTGTTCTGTCTTGTGTTGATACTTTTAATACCCTATTAATATCTCCCTTTGTTATGTCCATTCATCCTCTTGTTAACCTCTATCATGTCTCCTCTAACTATTCGCCTTTCCAGTGAATGCAATTTTAGCTTTGTTAATCTTTCTCCATATGAAAGATTTTTAATTTGGTGAATTAACTTTGTCATCCTACGCTAGACAAGTTCAAGTGAATTTATATCCATTCGGTAACAGAGTAGTTGTTACCACGTAACGTGGTATAGGTGGAGTCCCATAATTGTTTTAAACATTGGGTGGACATGTATGAGTGGGATTGGGCGGTTATAAATAGGAGCTGCCTCGTAGGGGCCAATAGGTCTTCTGCAGTTACATTTATTCTTCTGTTCTTATGTTAATGCATGAGTCAAACATGAGCGAACCTTAGTAAATCCATGTTGGGAAGCCATAGCTGATGGACGAGAGCATAATGCGATTTTACAACTCATGAAATTATTTACTTGAATATTTTTCTATTGTCTGCAAATTTGCAAATGCTGCTTTTAAATTTTATCAAAAGAGCATTGACACATAAAAAACAGCAAGGGTGCGGTGATAGAGCCACGAGGCACATCACATCACTTACTTTGGCAGAACCTCGAGGCACTTATTCACCACTTTTAATTGAAATAATAGTAAATTAATAATCGTGTCTTCCACTCGGATTTAGTTCCATTGATGCAAACTCCCTGTTATTTTAAACAACCAAATTCATATATTACTAATGATACCCGACACTCTTCATCGTCTGAGTTATAAAAATCTTCTTGATTTAATTTGTATTATTTTGCATGTTTTCAGCTAGTGAAATGTGATAGCTATAAAGTATGTAGAATTTAAGAATGTTTTTAATAAACTTTCTCTAGGAAGACTACTTTATAATATACAAGCACGACTTTAAAAAGTACAAGCACGTCAAGCATATAAGCACATAAAAAATATACATTCACTGCCATGAACTTAGACAGCTACAAAGTTAGGTATGAGGAAGAAAACAACTTGAAGATTTCAATTAAAATGCATCAAGTTGGATAGACGTTTCAAGAGGTTGGCCCCAAGGATCCATCCTGGGACCAGATTGTTTTAGATTTACATAAATCATATTGATTATTGTTATTGCTGTACAATATCTAAATTTGCTTAGGGTGCTAAAGTGGAGAGCAAAGATATAACTCTAATGCCTCGACAAATGTCTGACACTTTTAATTGAAATAATCGTAAACTAATAATCTTGACAAATGTGAACAGGCCAACTGCTAGTAAACATCACAGAGCTGATGACAGCAAATGAAGGAAGTGACCTACCTGGGTGTGTGAGTGACTTATGATCTACAGCAAAGTAGAGATGTAGAGTAAAAGGAGTATCAAAAAAATCTTTTGGTTTTCATTGGTAGCAATTTAAAGTAAATTCTGAGTAACAATTTAAAACAATGATACTTAAAAGTCAGCGCCAGTTATGTTTAATTGGGGAGATCTTTCCAGGTTCGATTGTTGAAAATGAATCTGTATATTTCACTATTACATATTATAATGTTATATTACACACCATATTTGAGAAAACGTGTTGATAAATTAGACGTGTTATACGTCGAACAATAAAAGTGACAAGACAACTTCGAAAACAATAAAAGTGACAAGACAGCTTCGAACAATAAAGCATGACAATAAATCATACGATGGTGGTTTCGAAGAGAAACACTACTTTAGTATTCTTGAGCCATATCCCATCTCACCTCACCCCCCTGCATGAGACTCCCTCACACAATATATATATATGTTTGTGTAGGAATCAAGGAATCCAGTCAACAACAAACAGACTACGAGGCAAGGTGAGTAGTGGGTAGCTTATTAACATCTTCCCGGATGTAATTGTAATTGGATTTGTTTTCTTAGCTTTAATTCATAATTATGTGTTATTAACACAGTCCATCGTGTGTTATTTCATGTTAAATTTTGTTTAAAATGGTCCTTGTGTACAAGTTATTGCTTCTGGTCCCATATTAGCCCAGGATTTGCAGTCTGCAAAGTTACAAGAACCTGTTTTGACTCAATGCAATTACATTTTTATCAGTCTAATATAAGACTAATAATTAATTTCATATTTGTATGTAGTTTCAAGCCATATATGCTTGTGTTTTATTAAAATAAACACTTTCTTTACCACCAGATGAAGTTCTTGGCAGCATCAGTGTTGATTGCCGCTTTAGCTGTAATATCTGCAGAACGTTTCTATTCTGTTGTGTTGGAAGAATGGGAGACATTTAAGGTAAGAATGTAAACAGCATTTATTAATAAAAATTAGTTTGTTTCAAAATGGAGTTTTTGGGGTTATGTAGTGTAACTATAGCATTCATTTGACATTCTGACCAATGGTCACTCCAGCATAATGATTGCTGAAGTCAATTATTAAGCACAGATGGCCTTGGATAGAGCCCTACATTGATCAACCATTAAAAATTTAAGCGAAGTCAGAGATGATGGATGCTACTTGTGGAGTGCCATATGCACTTGTACTTTGCCCACGATTTTTTAAAATTTGTATAATTCTTTCACTACCGTTGCTGTTGTAGTTATACTCCATATATTCCGTTTATGAAGAGCTTTTCTTATCAATAATTGATTTTCTTTTAGCTTGAATATGCCAAGAAATACACCACCGATGTCGAAGACAAATTCCGCATGAACATCTTCATGGAGAACAGACACAAGATTGCTGCACACAACAAACTGTTTGCAACAGGACACAAACCATACAGGCTCAGAATGAACAAGTATGGTGACATGGTAAGGAGAATGAATCTCATGATTTAACATTGTCCACGTCTTTATTTCCTTCGGAACAACAATACCCATATATTCGATGTCAACCTAATGAAAATATATTTATGTTACGAAATAAAATGTAAAATATTTCTTACAGCTTCAGGAGGAGTTTTTGTCAACAATGGCTGGTTTCCATAAGAACCACACAGAAAGATATACATTAAACAGCAAGTACAATGGTTCCCATTACATTGAGCCAGATGATGATGTTGTCCTTCCCAAGACTGTTGACTGGAGAGAGAAGGGAGCAGTCACCCCAGTAAAGGACCAGGGACACTGTGGATCATGCTGGGCCTTCTCAGCTGTGAGTATTATTATTATCACCTATCTTTAATTAATTTGAAAATTAAATGGTCAATGACACCAGAAGAAATTTTTAAATTAATATGTGCACAAATTATTATTTCAGATAAGCTAAAAATAATTTTGCATGAAATATAATTTATTGAGTTTTGTTAGCATAAAAATTTGTTCAGTCATATTCTTGAAACGTTTGCTTACGATTTAAATTAGTTACCTTTTACCTCAGTGGCAATCTTACTGAAAAACATAAATTAGTGCAGATATTTCTCATTATGTTTGTGTGGTCCACAGACTGGGTCCCTGGAAGGTCAACACTTCCGCAAGACTGGTAAGCTGGTGAGTCTCTCTGAGCAGAACTTGATTGACTGTTCCTCCAAATATGACAATGATGGTTGTGGCGGAGGACTGATGACCGCTGCTTTCAAGTACATTGAGGACAATGGTGGGATTGACACTGAGGAGGCCTATCCATATAAGAAAAAGGTAAACTCAGTTCTATAATTTTCTTTTGCGTCTCTTAAAGTCACTGACAATACATTATTATGTTGACTGGAAGAAAATTTTGTGTGTCAAATGATGATTATGAAAGAATAATTTCTATGAATAATAGAATACAATACTATTGTTCTTATGAAGGCTTATTGTATGAAGGCATACATTGTCTTCATAAGCGATACCCATAAACAATGTGAAGATGTTTATAAAATTTATTATTTATTTGACGCATATTCAATCTGCTTTGCATATTTTTAATGCATTATTTTGTACTTTATTAGGAAGGAAAGTGTCAGTATAACCCGCAAGAATCTGGTGCTAGAGTGACTGGCTTTGTTCATATTCGTACGGGAAGTGAAGATGCTCTGAAGAAAGCTGTTGCCACAGTTGGACCAATATCTGTTGGCATTGATGCCTCACATGGCTCAATCCAGTTTTACCACCATGGTAAGTTGTTTTGTTTCATGAGCATAGTATATTAGTGTGTGTGCGTCCATATAGAACATTATACAAAGTTTATCGTCATTATAAACATAAAATGTGCATCATGTGTGTATTTATAAACAATTTATATTTAATATGTTATTGTATATAAACACACGCACACAGCCCTAGATGTCAGCACTAGATGTCTGAGATCAGTCGGCAGAGTCAGTGGTGCTTACACTCACCATGTTGGCACTTGTCATTATTGTTTGTTCCATTTGATGCCATTGGTTTAGTATAAGATTATTTTAAAGGGTTATTTTATAATAATTATATATGAAATTTGCAAGTGATTTGTTAAACATTGTATTTTTAAGAATGAATATATATTACAGGTGTTTATGACGAGCCAGAATGTAGCACGACGGAGCTTGGTCATGGTGTTCTGGTTGTGGGTTACGGCACCACGGAGGACGGAACTGACTACTGGCTGGTGAAGAACTCTTGGGGTACAAGTCTGGGTGATGAAGGCTACATCAAGATGATGAGGAACCGTGATAACCAGTGTGGCATTGCTACTTCTGCCTCTTTCCCTCTTGTATAAACACTCGTAGAGGCCAATGTGAGGCATTGTTACTGCTGCCTCCTTCCCTCTTTGGTAAACTCGTAGAGGCCCGGTGAGGCAAAACTGCATCTCCAGACCTTTATAATTTCTAAATTATAATTAATGAACACAAAAATGCTAGCTTTAGCATTAATGATGTCCCCCATTTAGAATTATTGCTGTATGTGAAATCCACATTATTTTGAAAATTGATTGACATGAGAATTTAGTTAACCGCATTTTTTTTCATTTTCATTTTTTTTATTATTAATTATAAACAATTTTTGTTCTCAATTATTAGTTCTTCAAATATATAAGTTCTCAAATAGTTATTCAGAATATAATTTTGTTCTCAAATAATAAGATTAGTTATTCAGAAGATATAGGAAATTGGCTATTTTAACTTGTTTCATAGACCATATATCTGATATCCTCTAATGACTGTACTCTATGATTCTCCTTTTAGGATTTGTTGAGACCATATTCATCTGCTTCGATACCTTAAATTAAAACTTTAACCTTAATTAATTACACTTCATTTAACACATATTAACAATTTCGAGATTATTATGAACCAATTACTGAATCGGCCATGTAAAATTGATCATGATCAAGTAAAATTATTAGACAAGTGTAGAAAGACAATGATATAATTGGTAAAATTCTCTGTTGTAAAATCCACATGGACTTTCAGGAAGCAATAGCTCATTTGACATATAGTTATGCTCTATGATTATAGCATTATTATGGTGGGAAATATACACATATCTAAAACATGCTTGTATAGAAAATGAAAGATTTAACCACTGTATGAAGTCAATGTTGAAAACAAACTCTGTAATAAACAACCAGGTAAAATAAAGGTGATATTAAAATTTATTGAGTTTCATAGTCCTAACAAGTTATCAGCTATAATATATAACATGACTTATGTATGAGATATATTGCTAAACTCTTTACTTTTTACTTAAAATTCACGATTCATTCGAATATTTCTCGTATTCATCATCAGATCTAGAATGCAGAAGTTAAATTAAAATTAAGCAGCATAACAAAGAACTCATTCTGGACAGGTTTATATACTGAAACATAAGGGATAACGTGACACTAGTTTCAAAAAGAACAAAACACAGTTCAATTAACATACTAATAATACCCAAGTAAAATCTGATAATTATCCACGTCAATACCCAAAGATAATTCGATGACAATTTTAAATACAAACTTTCAAAAACTTAAAGATAAGCCATGTAAAACAACATGTAGCTTAAAGGTTAAACACTTTGTAAAATACATAAATATTATATTATACCAAATGGTATACTCTATTTTTTGTTTAAGCAAAATAATGAAAAATAATGTTGTCATTCAAAATGAGTATAATTTTTATTTTATTTTTGAATTAGCAAAATTAGATATACACAGCAATGCTACCCTGCTTTATATTACTTGAAATTTACTTATATTACTTGAGATATTGTGAGATATTACAGAGTGTGTAATATCTCTAAATAGACTAATCAAGAATTAGCTATAATTCTTGATTAGTGTATAATCGAGAATTAGCGATAGGTTTGACTATTTTTCCCATCTCACAGGATGGTTAGTCACACAGTTAATTAGGGAAACAAGCCTTCTTCCTTGAAGATCAGCATACCTCCAAATGGATTACCAAGACTGCCAATGTGCTCAGAATGTATAACTTTCATCACCCCTACCAAGAGAGACAACAACAACACTTTCCTGTACCTAGTACCTCTAGGCTACAAGTACCTCTGGGAGTTGGTATCATCTGCTGATGTAGATTTGACTAACTGTAAACTCTTGTCAGCAGAACTATTCGCAAACTTTGCGTCATTATATAATGGACTGTGAAAAAAATGCGGAATTTAGAGATAACACCATCAATAGTGTCCAAGAAATGTGTAAGTACTTCATTCATAATGATGTGCTGCCCGAAATCTTAGCGAAGTATCCAAAATTTGCTTACTGTAGGTAATGCATGCACATGACTGTAAAGCTGCCGCCCAGGTGGGTGGGTGTGCAGCAAGACTAGTAACTGTGTAACTCACTATAGATGTAAAGTGCCTTGTATAGTGACTGTTGTGAGCCTCTTGTAATGTCACTTGTGACACCTCTTTGTGTCACTTGTGACACAAAGATTATTTGTGTGGGTGATTAGATATGTATGTGTATATACGTATATATATATATAAGTGCATGTATGTATGAGGGTGTGTACATGTGTATACAACATTGATAATTTTGTAACTAGCGTCAAACATTGTTATTTGCTTAGCTAAACGAACTAGAGGGTTCAGGTCCTGAACCGATTATGTGCCTCTGTAATCCTTTACACCACCCCCCACGGGATGGGTATGGGGTGCATAATAAAGAAAGAAATTGAATAGCTTACAGGTTAAACACTTTGTAAAATACATAAATATTACATTATACCAAACGGTATACTCAATTTCTTGTTTAAGCAAAAATAATGATGAATAATGTTGTCATTCAAATTGAGTATAATTTTTATTATATTTTTGAATTAGCAAAATTAGATATACACAGCAATGCCCTGCTACCCTGTTTTATATTACTTGAAATATACTTATATTACTTGAGATATTGTGAGATATTACACAGAATGTGTAATATCTCTAATCTAAATAGACTAATCAAGAATTAGCTATAATTCTTGATTAGTCTATAATCAAGAATTAGCGATAGGTTTGACTATTTTTCCCATCTCACAGGAAGGTTAGTCACACAGTTAATTAGGGAGATAATACCTGTCTTAATACAAAAACAAACCAGCTCTGCAGGCGATGAGTCACAATAACGTGCCTGAAGTTTATAGCCAGCTGTTTAGCCAGAGCTGGTTTGTTGACCAGACCGGACACACTAGAAGGTGAGGACGGACTACGACGTTGTGGTCGACTCTGGCGTCGTCCACAATCGACTAACAATGCTCTCTTCTGTCAGTGAGGGATGATTGTCCAGGCTTCTACGACGCCGTCTTGTACCGTAACGTCCTGGCTCGCCCCCTTTCACAGTATATACTCAAATGCTAGTGACTTAACATAAGCTGGTCTGATCAACATCTCCTTCGGTGGTTATAATAGGAGCCAGGGCCAATCTGCTGCTAAACTAGTTGGCCTATAAGTTCATCCATCACAATATTTGGTCCATCGTCAATTTCAGGACGGTCAACATACTCATACATGGAATCATACATGGAATCAGGGGAGAAAATATCAGCCTCAATAAAAATACAAATCCACTATGACTAAAAATCAGGTGAGAACATAAAATAAGGCTGATCTGTTATCCTACACTAGCAAAATTTGGGTACAACACAATAATATCTTCCAATATTCCTGAGTGTGTGAAGTAATTACAGAGCTCAAAGTACCTCATACCATTAGGTCTGAAGTCACTTATAATAGGGGAATCACAGATATAGTGTTGAAGAGTATGTCCCAGCTCTTGGTCATGTAGTTTACAATTAGAATGTTCACCATTGGGGGGACTCATTACCTGTAGCCACCTGCCGTAGATATCGATATCCCAGCCTAATTCTGGCCGTTATAATATCCCACTGTCTAGTGGATGCTTTATGCTGCCCGTACATATAATTTTCTGTTATAAACATGTCATAGCTCTTTATACTTTATAAAGAAATTGGAATGCCCATATCGAACTCAACTTCAGGCTGATCACATGCAGTTTTAGGTGCCTTGTCTGTGTCGTTATGCTGGACAACACCTATGTGAGATGGTATCCATACAAATGAGACTCTGAAGCTCTTGCTCTTTGCATTAATGATGTTGTTTATAATGGATTTTACAACATTTCTAGTATCTATATTGCATGTTAGGTTTTTAAGGGCCTGAAGAGCTGACTTTGAATCACAGAAAATTACTCCTCCCAACAAAAAAATGAGGTAGATTGCTTACAAGTACTCTCAGGTACTTTGAAAGTAATAATTTGCAATTTGAGACACAGGCAAAGTCAGGGGTACAATGGAGTAAGGGAGTATCGCGAGGCTAGGCAACCTAGGAAATAATGAAAGTAAAGAAAAAAAAGTTGAATAATAAACATAGGCAAATTTAATCCTAATGATAATTATCTAAAAATAGTTCAGTTAGGATCCTATAATAAATAAGAACTGCTCAGAAAGTTAAGGAGGTACCGAAGCGAATTTTGGTTGTGGGAGATTCCCAGGTGAGATATTTAGCTGGAATTGGTGATATTGTTGGAAACACGGATGATATTATAACGGGAAATGGGAACAAACCCATTATTTGTATTAGTGCAGGGGATAATGATGTTGGGCGAGTTAGGAGTGAGGAACTAATACAGAGATTCAGGACAGCCATTGAATTAGTTAGGAGCAAGGGAGGAATCCCAATCATATGGGGCATTCTTCCAAGAAAGGGAGGGGGAAATGAATGGATGTCGAGGGCACTTGGTGTCAATTGCCGACTGGAAAGATATTGCAAATCAAATGCAATATCTTTCATAGACAACTGGGAACACTTCTATGGAAGAAATGAAATGTATGCTCGTGATGGGGTGCATCTATCGAGGGCTGGGGTTGTTGCTGTTGCGAACTTGTTGGAACCAGTGGTTAGAGGTGTTTGTTTGGGTTTAAACTGTTAGTAGATAGTGGTATGGGAATTGATTTGGAGGAAGGAGGTAATAAAAGTATGTGTTCGTGGGAGAAAAGAATTGGCAAAATGATCAGGGAAAGAAAAGGGCCTCAAAATAACAATTCACTTAGGATATATTACACTAACAGTAGAAGTCTAAGAAATAAAATTAATGAATTAAATGCTCTTGTCTGCACAGAAAAAATAGATATTATTGCACTTACCGAAACGTGGATGAATGTAGAAAATAGAGAACTATTAGCTGAATATCAGATAAATGGATTTAAACTATTTCACACAGATAGATATATTAGACGAGGAGGGGGAGTAGCCATATATGTTAGGGACATTTGAAATGTAGTCTCAAAG